GTACGTTATCCAGTGACCAGAGGTAATAACGCTCGCGCCTTTGATTATTCAATTTGGAATTGGTGCCTTATAAATATTTGGGTATTATTATATTTGCCTATCGTATTCAAAGATGTTTATGTCAGAAACAAGTTATTTGCAACCTAAGATATACTGAGTGTATTACGGCCATCTGGCATATATCATTTAATTTCCATTATTCATCTTGGGGGGGGGGGGGGAATATGTAAAAACACCACTCCAGTAATTATGTAATAAGCCACTCTTGAGTACTAAACCCTGCTCTCTAATGCCATAGTGGCATCCAGAAAATGTTTAACCGCTGAGTGGCTTATTTCATTATTTTTCTATAATTCACGCTACAGTGTGTGTGTATTGGTAACATACTGTTTTAATAAGCAAGGCAAGAGAAACTCCAATGATGCAGCATATCTGTAGGGCTTCCCTGTCTTGTTTGGCGGTCTTGCTATGTTTCTTCTTCTTGACTTCACAAATGCATCTCTGATGTCTTTCCACCTTTTGGAAGCTTCAACTCCTGAAATATTAAATTTTAATGTACACAATAGTCTTAACTATCAGGGTTGGCATCACATTCAGTACACTGAAATTATCTATTTTGCATCCAACAGCAAGTAACAGGGTAGAATGATGAATGCTTTCAGAGCTGTAAAAAGTTAATTTGTTTTTGCTAGACCAAGGTCTAGTGTTGCTAAAATGATTGCTAGCAATTATATATCAGCTATTGACTAGTGATCTAGTTTTAATGTATTTTTTGCTAGCCCAGCCCTAAAATACTCAAAGTCCCAGACCCACCAACTTTTTACAGCCCTGTGATTTGGAAACTGATTGTCTCAATGAGGCTTAATAGTGGTTCTCAGCACATTTTATTGTTAATTTTGATAATCATTCTACTTTGCATGTCTAGTATAAGTGTAGATATATTTGATGTGTAGGCTTATTTTAACAATTTTGTTTTGTAAGTACAACTGATTCTGTAGTGTTATGTATATCTTTTTTAGTCCATGCTTCATATAATAATATACCTTACTGGATTCTACCAATTTCAGTAAAAGTTTCACCACCTTGGCATGCTAAAGTTAGTAGTAAATGGGTGCCTTGGGATTGAGTGAACCTTTTGGTATGCCCTTTTACTGACATTAAATGCAGGTTTAACTGAAGCCCAAGACCTTGATGGCCAAGTCTGTCTCATCTAATTAATATTTACAGTATGTGCAGTTGTTAAATTTATATACTGTACTGACTACCATAGCTTCATTCTAGGCATTTGATTGATTAAATGCTGGACAATAATGCCTACAATCTATGGAATTGTATATAAAACAAATATTTACTGGGTTTTAATTGGGTCATAGTTCAACACAATAGAGGCTACTATGACATGGTACAGCCTCCAGATCACCTCAGGCCTTGAACTATGTCCCTGAACCCGAAAAATAATGATATTTCACATATATTTATATATATATTTTCAACAAATTTTTGAATTTAATTTAGCTATTGCCTAATAAATCTTACAGAAAAAATTATTATTTTATTGTATGATAAACAAACAATTGATTGAAACCTGTTGTTGCTAATTTGTTGCCAATCGACTCCCAGATCTCTACTTTTCTTTCTGCATTCGTGTGTAATGGGTTGGAGCGGTCATACAATTCAGGAAATACCTCTACTTCTTTTATCAGTTGTTCGGCTATTGTATGTGGAGATGTAGCCGTAGTACTGTCCATTTGTACCTCTGCAAATAGTATAGTGTAGTCCTTTCTTCAGCTGTAGCAGCAGTCTACAAAAACTAAAGAACAAGAACAGGTTAACGTAATAGTATACAGGGCTCCCTCTAATTAAAGACCACTCCAAACAAGGCACGCTTTTCTGCAGTCCCAAATGGATGTTTACCTTATTTTTATAACAATAATTTTTCTAATTAAAGACCAAAAGTGCTAAAAACCATTAAAACCCCAGTCTCAAATTGGGAGGGAGACCTTAAAATACACACAGCCAATTCTATACTGCTAAATCCATAATAAATTTCAACATACCATTTACTACAGTATTTTCATAAGCATAGCTGGCTGACTATTATTAGGCACAAGTTAGGCCTTGGAAAATATTAATCCATCAAAAACTCACAAGAATAAACTACGTAAGTAAAGACTGTGGATAAATATTTTTTATTATACACAAACAAATTGTGCAAGAAGAGGTTTTTTTATTTAAATAACATAAAGAAAATTGAAAATCACATGTAAGGTGAGACTTTTATTCCTTGATAAATTTCTTCCTAATTATATAAATTTGAAGCATTTAACAATTCCATTACTATAGTGTTTATATTCACTAACAAAATTTTATATTTATTTTTTCCTCCATCTGAAAGTTTGTGGTAAAACTATTTACAAGATAAGAAAACAAAATTTTATTTACATTTTTTTTCTGCCCCCTTTTCGTGATCTTACAAAGAATACAAAAGTCTCGCCTAAAGCAAATTGTTAATTTGGCTGTCATTTTTATGCCTATAATGGACCTTTCTGGAGGTGTCAATAAAAACTGACCAATCAGAACAGTGCCGGGAATGCGTGCATGTCCAACAAACACAAGTTTACGTACATTTACATCTGTGTTAAAATAATAGTAGTAGGCCTACATGAGTGGGTCATTATTACAGTTGAATTTGTCTAAGTCAAATAATTTCTAAGTCGATCTTATTTTACATGCCAAATTGTGTTTTCCATTAACAATCTCAAGTGCGGTGCTTATTGGTGAACCCTACAAGCGAGTTTTTATTCCGGGTCGTTTTTATTTCACCACTCAGTCGGGCATGTTGGACCCCTTGTCAGTAAATTTCTGGCACCACCGCTGGCGGCGCTTATTAGAGCATTTACAGTACCATACTGTAATGTAGTACTGTACAATTATAGGACGTCTAAAAAAAGTTCAGAGTACAGTAGCACCCTTAACTTCAATTTGAATCGCTATATTTATATATAGTAAATATTTGACTACAGTTAAGAACCCGTACATTGTTTAAAACTGAAAACTATACCCCCATACTGTAGGCCTATATTACTACTAGCTTAACGCCAACGTTAAGGGCACATAGAAAAATTATTAGATTCACTCTTTTTTTTTTTTGTAATTGATGAGGGCGGTTTTTCAGTAGATTATTTCGCTTTCGTTTTTATCGATGAGGGAGGGACTGTTTATATTTGCTCTGTAATAGTAAATATTGTGTAAAAACTGGTTGAATTTTATAGTTTTTTTTAATTCCCACATCAATATTTCCCAAATTTTTGACGCCGGCAGGAGTGATAGTCTAATCAATTTTTCTATTTGCCCTAATATAGCAAATGCCGTTTGTGTGAACACTTTGGAATTTTAATCCGCGGATTAGCTTACGCCGAACATCCCCTTAGGCCCTACATGAAATTTGTTTTCTTGGGTCAAATAAATAGATACCAAAAATAACCTGTCTATGCCCCATTGCCTTACTGTATATTATTTTTACTATAAATATCCGCATGGGATTCGGTTATCAGGAAATGTCTGGTGTTGTTTTTTTTTTTTTTTTTAATGGCTTTTGTACAGTATTATTAAGGTACCGGTACTTGACACATGGCCCACCATGCACCTCCGCCGCATTATTTACCCTTTCCGCCATCCTTCAACTGCCAGATCTGCATCTTTGCCCCGAGGGGGAGTGTATAGCTACCCCCTTCAAATAACTAAAATTTGATGGCAAAAGGGGGAGTGTATAGGCCTAGCTACCCCCTTAAAATAACTAAAATTTGATGGCAAAAGGCGTGTAAAAAATAAACTTTTTTTAATTTATATGATTAGACATATCATATTCCCGTTCAACAACACATTGATCGTTCAGAAGTCGGCCAAGGCTGTTAATTATAATCAGCTTAGGCCTAGCTGAGACTGTAGAGCAGGCTAGGCCTACGCCTCTATCGCTAATAATAGTCCTTGGTTGGGCCTAGGCCTAGGCAGATAACTATTCTTCAGACACGTTTGTATTCATCTTATTAGGAGTAAAATACCTTATTGGAATATTCATTTTAATTAATGAAACTTGAAAAAATCGATTATTGTAGATATCGTAAAATAAAAATGCTAGGTCTAGTTTCATATGTATCAACTTTAATTAAGAACTTTGTTCAAAAGCAACACCAATGATTCTGAATTAGCACTGTCATGGCGGCGGAGTATACGATCATGGCATCGTCCTAGCGGCAGCGGTTAGCCGCTCTGTACTCTGCGGTCGTTCAGCGGTAGCACTCTGACGATTGCAGTACACGCTTACATTTCCACCGTGCGATTATACCGTTATTATTCCGTCCTGTGGCGGACGAAAGACGTAAATTTATAACTTAGTGTTTTGATTAAACGATCTTAAAGTTTACAAACAAGAACGTGTGTGCCATCTTACCAATATTGTCTTTTCTTTCCTTGAATAATAACAGACTTCCGATGATCTACGCAAACATGAAGAAACAATGCAGCAGCCAAAACCAGAAAAGGGTCAATGCTCGAAAATAGGTACGCGCAAACGGCAGGCGGCCGTCAGCGTGGTTAACAAATTAGTTTTAATTTGATTTTAACTTGATCCTTTTTCAGAAGGAAAACTTTTAAATAAAGAAAATAATTTATATACTGTATATGAAAATGAAAATGAAAAAGAAAGCAATGAAATAGTGAACAATGAAAAGTACAAAATTATAGTAATAATTGATATGACAATTATGTTATACAGATTTACAGTAATAATAATAATGTATGTATGTATGTATATACTGGTTTGTGTATGTATGCTGTCTCTTATACACATCTAGATGTGTATAAGAGACAGCTACATGAGTGGGTCATTATTACAGTTGAATTTGTCTAAGTCAAATAATTTCTAAGTCGATCTTATTTTACATGCCAAATTGTGTTTTCCATTAACAATCTCAAGTGCGGTGCTTATTGGTGAACCCTACAAGCGAGTTTTTATTCCGGGTCGTTTTTATTTCACCACTCAGTCGGGCATGTTGGACCCCTTGTCAGTAAATTTCTGGCACCATCGCTGACGGCGCTTATTCGAGCATTTACAGTACCATACTGTAATGTAGTACTGTACAATTATAGGACGTCTAAAAAAAGTTCAGAGTACAGTAGCACCCTTAACTTCAATTTGAATCGCTATATTTATATATAGTAAATATTTGACTACAGTTAAGAACCCGTACATTGTTTAAAACTGAAAACTATACCCCC